CAGTGGCACGATCTCGGCTCACTGCAGCCACTGCCTCCCGGGTTCAAGCGATTCTCCCGCCTCAGCCTCCCAAGTAGCTGGGACTACAGGCACATGCCACCAAGCCCAGCTAATTTTTATATTTTTAGTAGAGCCGGGGTTTCACCATGTTGGCCAGGATGTTCTCAATCTCTTGACCTTGTGATTCGCCTGCCTCGGCCTCCCAAAGTGCTGGGATTACAGGCATGAGCCACCATGACTGGCCTTTTTTTTTTTTTTAAACAGTGGGCACCGGATGCAGGGGTTCACTCCTGTTATCCCAGCACTTTGGGAGGCCGAGGTGGGTGAATCACCTGAGGTCAGGAGTTTGAAACCAGCCTGGGCAACATGGTGAAACACCATCTCTAATAAAAATACAAAAAATTAGCCCAGTATGGTGGTGTGTACCTGTAATGCCAGCCGCTCAAGAGGCTGAGGCAGGAGAATTTCTTGAACCTAGGAGGCCGAGACTGCCGTGAGCCGAGATCAAACTACTGCACTCCTGCCTGGGCAACAAGAGCAAGACTCCATCTCAAAAATTAATTAATGAAAATAAAAATAATGACAAGGTCTGTCTCTGTCACCCAGGCTGGAGTGCAATAGCATGATCACAGCTCCCTGCAGCCTCAACCTCTTGGGCTAAATATGATGCTCTACCCTTAGCACTTCTACAGGTGTGAGCCATGCCCAGCCAAATTCACCTAGGCTAGTCTTGAACTTCTGAATGCAAGTGATTCTCCCATGGTGGTGTGGTGGTGCACAACTAGTCCCAGCAATTCAAGAAGCTGATGAAGAAGGTTCACTTGAGCCCAGGAGGTCAAGGATGCAATAAGCCATGATTTCACCATTGCACTCCACCCCGGGTAAGAGTGAGACCCTGCCTCAAAAAATAATAATAATGGTGAATGTTATGGTGTGTGAGTTATATATATGATAAAGTCCTACTCATAGCTTTAAAAACATGGAACAAAAAAGCTTACTTGAGCACCAGCCAGGTGCCTGGTGGGTTACTGAGAACTGTACATAGATAGCCTTCTTGAATTCTTAAAGCCACCAGGGCTGAATGGTGCGACTGCTATTAAAATGTTAGGCCGGGCACGGTGGCTCAAGCCTGTAATCCCAGCACTTTGGGAGGCCGAGGTGGGTGGATCACGAGGTCAAGAGATCGAGACCATCCTGGTCCACATGGTGAAACCCCGTCTCTACTAAAAATACAAAAACTTAGCTGGGCATGGTGGTGCGTGCCTGTAATCCCAGCTACTCAGGAGGCTGAGGCAGGAGAATTGCCTGAAC